ATCATATTACATGATTTGTTGATTTCATTTATTATTTGATTTTTAACAAAGTTTTTTCGATTATTCAGATTAATCCAAACACCCAAAAATCTTACAGATTCTGATTTTGAAATTGGTTTGATATTGATTGTAGAATTGCCAAATTTTAGATTGATTATATTTTGTTCTTGATCAGTTTGTGAAGTTAGAAGTACTGATTTGTTTTTATTTATTTGAATATTGTTCAAGTTGTAAAAGTCATCTGCAATTTCTAGTATTTTTTCTAGATTTTCTTTGGATGTTGTGATCCAGGTTGTATCATCCATGTATGCGAGTGTTGATATTTCTGCAGATATTTTTGCTATTTCAGGTTTTGATATATCTGCTTTCCAATTTACTTCCATTTTGTAACCAATATTTTTTTGTTTTTTTATTTCACACAAAAGTGGATCATAATAAATACACCACAAAAGTGGTGAAATGACCTCACCCTGGTCAATTCCAACCAATACTTCATATGGATCTGTCTCGCCATGACATGTGATAACTTTATTTTTCCTTTTTGTAAAAAGGTTTATTATGAGATTTATGCATTTTTGAGGAAATTTGAGACGTTGCATAGCTTTTTCTAGCATTCTGATATTAACACAATCGTATGCTTTGGAAAGGTCCTGAAATAAAATCCAAATCTCTTTTTTGTATTCATTGGACTCTTCAATTATGGAATTAAGTGCTCTGATTGGTTCAAAAGTTGAACCACCAGGTAATCCAGCAAAATTATCTCCTTTTAGGATATTATTTTTTGCTAATATTTCAGAAAGTCGTTTATTTAGGATTTTCACCATTGCTTTCCTTACTGTTTCCAAAAGAGTTATAGGTCTTGTTTTATCTAAAAAACATTCCCAATCCATTGGTTTAGGGATGGGGTAAATTGTTGCTATTCTCCATTGGTTTGGTATTTCATTCATCTCAAAACATGCAGAAATTAATTTCCAGAGACATCTTCCAAAATTCTTTCCCAGATGTTTGATCATTTCATTGCTGATTTTAGAGGGACCAGTAGCTTTGTTATTTGGTAGAGTTGTTATTACCTGTTTCCATTCCTTGTATGTGGGTGGATCCATTACATTTTTATAAATATCAGAGTTAATTTCTTCTTTTGGAAGATATTGATTTTTCCAATAATTATTGATTTGTTTTATTTCATTTTTTCCTCTAGCTACAATTTGAAAATGTTGATTTGTTATTGCTTTAATTTTTTCAGGATCTGTTGTTAAGATTAGGTTGTTATTTTCTTTAAAAAGAACCCTGTCTAGAATTATTCGTTTATGATTTCTTTCCAAAATGGAGTCAATCATTGTGCTTTGATCATCCTTGTAGTTTTCACATCTTTTATTGATTAATAAATTAATTTGTTCTTGTTTTACTTGTTTTTCTTTTATTTTACATATTGTAGATAGTGTGTTATATATTTTAAAAGTGATTTTTTTTATTTTGCTGATATTATTGACATTAATATTTATATCAATTTCTTCTAGTGGATATTTAATGTTATTTGAAATGCTCTCAAGATTTGTTTTCATTTCATTCCATTCTATATTATTTGGAAAACCTTTACTGCTAATTTTGCGTTTTCCTAATCTTAGTAGAATTTTACTGATAGATTTTAAATGAAAATAATGTTGTTTTAATGCTGGTGATTTATCTTTTTGATTTGATTTTATATTAGTTGTCCATTTATAGGGAATGTGTTTTTCTGCAGCTTGCAAAATTATCTCTTTAATTTTATTCCATGTTTTGTCAAGTGTTATTTGATTAATTATCTTAGCATTTTCTTTATACAAGAAACTTTTTTTGAATAATTCATTAGAGTAGTTTGCAAAATCTTTCCATTTTTCTTTGGACATATTATCATATTTAAAAATTCTTCTCTTAGTTTGATAACGTTTAGCTTTGGCTTCTTGTTGATATTTTAATATACCATCAGTTGAAAAGTATGTGATGATCATATTGTGATCTGAAGGATATAAATAAATGTGATAGTTGCTACAATAAAGGAAGTCTGATAGCAAATTATTTGAAAACCAACATAAATCAATTCGAGAGCTGTTTTCTCCACTTTTGTATGTTGGTATTTTTTGTTCGTGACAAATTTCATATGCATCTGTGAAATTTGTGTTTTCAAGTTCCTCTATTAGTTTGTACTGATAAGGAAGTATTCTATTTTTTATTTTTAATTCATTCATTTTTTCTGGTGATAAGTTAAAATCTCCCAACCCCAGAACCTATTGGTTTGTCTTCTGAACAGCTCCAAAAAGATGAATAATTTTTATTATTTTTATATATATGTGACGCAGTTCTATTATTTAAATTTGTTTCAGATAAACCTAAAACATCTAATTGTAAAGTTTCTATTGTATTAATAATTTGTTCTTGTTTAACTGGGTCTTTCATGCCCATTACATTATGATTTGCTATTTTTAATAAGTTACCATCAATTTCTATGTTATTTTCATTATTGTTAAAATTTATTTGGGTATTGGTTATGTTGTTTATACCCATATTATTTGAATTATTGTTGTTAATCATAAGTTAATTAATTAAAATTTATTCTGACTGGTGCTAATAGCACCTTGATCCATTTCATCATTATTTTGGTATTGATTTTCAAAAATATTGAGGATTTTGTTTATTTTTTTGTTCATTTGTTTTGTGTTGTGTTCAATATTATTTTGTTTAATTTTCAATTCATTTATTTCATCATTTATTTCATCATTAATCTCTGCATTAAGAGATTCATCACTTGATTCATTCATTTTTTTCTTTTTTGTGTATGTTTGGATGTAGAAGGAATATTTTTTCCTTTTGACAAAATTGAAATATCTAATTTATTATTTCCTTTTTGTGAATTAACTTTAGATGAGTTATTTTGAAATTTATTTTCAGTTGTTTTATGTTGAGTTGAAGTATTTGATAAATTTGTGCCAGCATTATTCTCCAATGCTTCTACTCTCTTCTTTACTTCTTCTATGTCTAGCATTATTTTTTTTAAATCTTTTTGAATGTTTTTCATGATTTCTACTATGTTCTCATTTTTTTTAATATTATTATTAACATTCATTTTTAAATTTGATTCATTTTGTTTAAATATTTGTTTTGAATTTTTTGTTTTTTCTGCATAAGAAACTCTTTTAATTGAATTATTTGGTTCAATAAATCTTTGTTGAGCTTTTTGTGAATTTGATTTTGGCTGAGGAACTCTATATTTATGATAAAGTCCTTGCAGACGTGCATTTTTTTGTTTAATTTCATCATTATTTTCTTTTTCTGGACAAACAGCTATTAAATGATCACTGTTACCACATTTATGACATGTTTTGTGTTCATCACTTTCCCAAGAGAGATTATTGTTTCTGAAGGCAAAATTTGTCAGACATGCATTTTTCATATCTTCATCATTTTCAAAAGTTATGTAAGCAAATCTTTTTCTGGTGTATTGTTGTCTTGTTCTTGTAATAAAACAAGTTTTAGCCTTTACTGCTAACATAATATCATGTAAATCATATGCTGTTGTGCCATATGGCAGATTAGTGAGTTTTAGAGTACGACTATTTCTTTCGTCTATTTCTTCTTTGGTAACATCCAATGGTGCAATTCTACAACTATCTTTTAAGTACATAATTGACCATTTATCACCAAGTTTGCTCATGGATTCTTTATCTTTGAATGTAATTTGTGCTTTATACCAAGTTCCTTGTGCTCTCATTTTAATATTTGTAATTTCTCCATAAGAAGATAGAATATTCATTAAAACTTCTTTTTTTGCAGTTAAGGGTAAATCTCTTATGCTAATAGTTCTTTGTCAATAATCTTGGACAGATATTTCTTCATGTGTTTGAAATTTAAAGTCACTATTTTCTGCAAAAGGTAGTTCACATGCCTTATCTGCATTTTCTTTTGTTCCAAAGGTTGCTACAATATATTTGATTCCTTTAATATATTTAATATTTAAGCCAACAAGGGGCTGAATGTTTGATAATACTTTTGAAGCTGATGCAAGTTTTGCATTATTATTACCACCAGGGACATTTTCAGCTTCAATTTGAACAATAAAACGTTCCTTTCTTTTGACAACAGTCCAATCCTTATCTTCACTTTGATCTAAATTCATATCAGAATCAACGTCATTATTACTGACATTTTCAAGTCCATTTTGCAATCTTGCAGAGTTTTCATGATTTTCCATTGTATTAATTTTTAGGTAATTAATTGTCTACCAAGGAATTGGCAGACATACAAGTATATATATACTTTAATTCAGAAAAAGTATTTATGAACCACAGAAACCTTCTAGACAGGGTATTTACTACAAAGAATTGTGTTTTTATTATTTTATGTGTTTTATAATTTTATATTTTTTTTTTTTTAATTTTTTTTCAACGCGTAAGTGTCTTAACTTCTATCACATTATTTATACATAATAATAAGAAATTGTGTTATGTCACGTGATTCCAAAAGTGATTCCGTTTCTTCGAACGATTAACTCTACTATAAGTCACATCGCCCGTTTCATACAACTTATTAATATTGAAATAGTTATTTGAGAATGGAGTGTTAACAATCTGGTATATTTATTAGGTAAACGTATCTCATTTATTCTAATAACATAATTGCAAAAAAGCAAGTAAAATCCAACCATATTGTAAGCAAATTGCTCAACAGCCAATTGCCAGATTCAGTTAGAAAATGGTTTAAAAAAGAAAAGCTTTGTTTGAAAATTTATTTGAGTCAAGTTGATGAATTTTTAGTAATATTATAAAAAGTTTTTTGACAACAGTTTTTTTTTGCAACGCACTGTATACTTATGGTATAAATTTGTGTAATATTGTAATGTAGTTTTTTTACTAATTAGGGTAAACACGTGATCAAATACTTTTGTCTACAGATTTTAACCATAAAAAACATTCTAGTATCTGGTGTCCATTTTGCCGAAATAAACATGTCGAAAAATAATTACCAAGTATTTGGGACTTCCATCACCAATCCGCAGACCTGATTTCTTGAAAACTTCTGAACACCCAACAGGATTAGATCTAGATATTTATTATCCAGAACACGGATTTGCAGTTGAAGTGCAAGAACCACAGCATGAAAATATACTCTTTCGTAGATGATGACCGAATAATTTTATCAAACAGCAAAGCACGAGATCAATTCAAGAAAGAATTACATGAGAATAATTGGATTGTTCCAATAGAAGTTTGGTATTATGACACATAACACAACGATTGGATTACGACAACGAATAAAAAAAGGTTAATTATCACATTGATTAATTTTTTATATTATTTCGCTACGAAACCACTCTTTCGAAATGTCTGTTTTTAAGCACTTCAAGCTCTAGTTGGTAATCAACGGTAAGGAAAGTAAAGAATATAAAGTTGAATAACATAGTCTATAACTATTCAGAACTGCCAAAATCTCTCTTAGAAGAAGAGAAGAAAGGTGAGTATACTTCACGTAGGTTTCTTGAAGATCCGCTCAATGCTAACTCGTATGTTTTGTTTGCTCTTTTAGGTCTAGTCAGAATTTTCAGTGAAGACTATAATAATAATAATTTTCTTGACTGTAACGAATTAACTGTATGCAAATTTCATTAGGGTAATGGAAACGTATATATTGTTGAAATGGCTAACTCAGAATATGAATTTGTTATCGCACTGCTTCAAAAAATTTTTGAAATCTCAAAAAATGGTGTGTGTAATAAGTAAATCATCTGATAAAAGTTATGTATGAAATTCCTGATTTGAATTTTTCTGTAGCTATTATTATTCTGCTTCTGGAGTTATAAACCTTTTTAAAAATTCCCACTATTATTAAAGCGCCACACGGTCCAATATAGCCTCTCAATAAAATTTTATCAGTGTATTTACGTAGTACAAAAGATTTGATATATTCGATTTCTCTTAGATTTGATTATGTAACTAACGCCCCAACAGGTGAGAATAAAAATATCTGGAGAATGCCGGTTTGGAATCTCCAAAAAAAATATCGGACCAAAGTTTAATCTAAAAATTTATACACGTAATGGCCGATTCTATATATAGGACATTCTAAATTTTTTCATAGTAATAGGATTTCGCACCATGCATCCATAAGACAAAATGGCAAAAAACAACCGCCTCTGAGGCTATTATAGATCATTTTGCGGCATCACATGTTACGTGATATTAAATATAAAAAAATTCTTTCCCTTTTTTTTTGTAAACCTTCACCAATCCTTATTATTATGAGTTCATTATTATGTAAAAACCCAATTTTGGTTAAAGAGTCCCAGTGACGGTTTTTGTCCAAATGCTATGAATGGATCGGCAATTAAAACTTTTGATACTAATACTAATACTAATACTAAGTTCATTCATTGGTTAATTTCGATGATCATCTAATTTTCTCGACTATATAAAGACATATAAAGGCCAATTTAATGATAACTAATCTGTTTCTTTTTTCAAAGGAGTCTATATTTTTCTTATTCCAATAACCTAATACAATGTTACTACCATAAATAAAATCTTACACCATCAACCAACATACCTCTACTTGTTCAACAAAGGTGAGTGATTAAGATCGAATCTTCTCATTTCTCAAAACTCGGATCCTCCTCAGCAAATTATCCAACCTTTCAACTCTCAGAATTCGCCTTATCTTTCTTGGTGATTTTATTATAATCTCTGGATCAAACAAAACCTGGTGATGGGCTAAAATCTTCTGGTACCAATTTCGACAGCGGTCATTATTTTATGAAAAGTTTCCTTCTTGGCCAGGATCTTTTAATTCCGCTTATCCACACCGGAACATCAAGAGTCATGTTCATGTATACACGTTTGGTTTCTTTTTCCATGTAGTTTGTTAGCTTTAGTTAAAGAGGAAAACATTTATCTCAAAATATAAAAGGCATTTATTTCAAAAAAATAATTTCCATCTTATTAACTAACGTAACCAAAAAATTCAGTTAGTATTATTAACATTAAGGAATGATAATAACGGCACAGCGAATATTTATTTATTTGGCGTTAGCCATATTTTCCTATCAGTCTTTGACGTGTAGATTCAATAGCCTCGAAAAATTTATAGCCAGTGTCTGAAGTTTGACACTTTTTTTTATAATCAACTCAAAAAAAAAAAAATAAGATCCTCTTCTTATAGTGATATATAGAGTAATAGTACATGTATTATATCTTTGGAGGCCCATCAAGTAAGGGATTATCAATTAACAATATATTTGGTGAATTTTTTTGTCGGGAAGTTTGTCAGAATGAGAAATTTTCCCGGATAAGGAATTTATTGTTGCAAGATTTCTAAACATAATCAAGCCTTTTTGACAAAAATAGTAAATATTAATTTATGTTTCTATGAACGGGTAAATAAAATCAAATATTCGTGTAACAAAAATGGTTAAAATAATATAATAATAATAATAATAACAATAAATAATAATGAACTTTGTATATATTGAAAGGAGTACTCTAAAGCTATAGTCAGCGCACAAAAGGTACTCGATTTATATTTGAAAAAAAAATATGGGGGACACAAATAAATTAAAATTTAATTCTTAAACGAAAAATCTCCAAGAAATCTCATTTAAATAAAAAAAGGAAATACCTTTTTTGTTATTGATAACTTTAGAATTATGTCACTTAATGAAAAAAAATACTTTATCTGTATAATTAATATGAATAAGTTGATGTTTGTTTGTGTGGTGATGAATTTTAAAAAACCAAATTTATTTTTTTAAAATTGATTGGATTGTTTGATACTATTATTGTTACATAAATCCTCCAACAAATTCCGGAATTTTTAAACGTTGTCGGAAAACATCACGGAGAATTTGATGCGCACCAGTCATTCAAAAATGGCATTCATCACATTTCACTTCAAAATTGAGATTTTAACAATTACTGCTGACCCCATGAATGAACTCAAAACACGTCCCTAAATCTGCAACAGCATTATTCCTTATATAGTAATTGCGAAATCTTTAAATAGAATTTGAATTTTTTTTTTTTACATTGAAATTTACTTTATTCGTTTATATATACAAAGGGTAATGAGTGGCACAAAAGGTACAATAGTGTATTAACGGGATCGTGAAAAGTTAGAACAACCGGTTGTTAACAAACAAAATTAATTTGTGTCCTTTTAAGTGGCTCTTTTTATCTAGATCTGCTAACTAAATTCATCCAATTATATAGCCTTAATAAAATTAATATTTAAATAGCGTTGTATTGTTCCTTTTAATTTTTTTTTTAAAAAAAAATTAATAAAAATTAACAAACAAAATTAACATTACATTTATTTTTTTTAATTTTTTCAACAATCTTTTGCGCAATAAAATATATAAAATTATATAAAAATGTACAAATTTACGTCATCTTCGATACCATTCAAGAATAATAAAAATGCAATAACAATTTTAATGTTTATTTTTTTTTTCACAATTCCAACAATAAATTCGTTAACTATAACACAACCTCATCCATCATCAGTACCACCACCAGCCCCAACAGACAAAGTATATCCAGAATCTTTCTCAAGAAGTGGCTGTCATATGATGGGACAAGTGGAATTTTATCCAAGGATGAACACAGATAATCTTTTTGGATATATAAGTTTCATAGAGACATCTGGTGGTAAAGAAGTGGTCGTTAACGCCATATTGGCAACTGAAATAGGATTGGATGGACTAAAGGATCCCGAAGATCCATCAAAACCACTTTACAATATGGAATTGATTGATGACGAAAACAAATTAGTTTATGATCTTACAGCTCCCATATTCAATAACGCTTTATATGTGGTATCTTTAAAAATACAGAGAGCTCCACTTAGCATTTGTGATAAAACCAAATCTATTATAGGTAAATACCTTGTTATCAAGAAAGACGGCGTTGAAATTGATAGGGCAAAAATATTTGGAATGTTGGACACCACAAACGGCTTTATTTTTGAGCAATTTTAAACAGCTTATGTATTATATCTGATATATATATATATATATATATAAT